GGTTTGTACTTCAGCATGTGTGGGGGTTTATTTCTTTCTGTATGTAGGGTGAAATACAGCGATGCATACCTCATGGTAGCAATGCTGCTGTAGGCAAACTTTTTCTATCTGCAGGCAATAGAAGCCTGTTCTAATCAGCTTCCCGAGTCAGTGCCAAAACACTTTTTAAAAGTGGTGTTTAAGTGTTCGTGAGACTTATGCTTAGTCCTCAGGAGGTGCTATTAGGCTTGTATGATATAAATGGTGTCTGTAAATGCTGGTTTGCAGTCTGATACAGCCGTTACCTTTTCTTGTCTGCAGGTGTGTGGTTTCAGCACAGCATGGCTGTGGTCATCCACTTGCAAGGTCTTCCGATTGTGGTGGGGACCATGGACTTCTCTGGATTGACCATTCCTGATGGGGGCGTGCATATTGTAGGGGGGGAACTGGGTGAGGCTTTCATCGTTTTTGCCACTGATGAAGATGCAAGGCTTGGTATCATGTATGCAGATGGTATAAATAAGAGGTCAAAACTAACCATGGCAGAACAATAAAAACCTTGTGTGTGAAATGTGATTGGACTTAGTCCTTGGCAGTTTCAAAACGGGCATATAGATATGCTAGCAGTTTTGGAACACTCTGGTGTTGGAGTGAATGGCAGAGTCAGCTTAGGCTTTGTGGAATTGGCTGTAAACCTGGTTTGGCATAGAAACTGCTTGTACTGCTGTATATGAAGGAAACGACATGAGCTTGGGTCTTGTCGCTTGTACAGGCGCTGCATTTCAAATGTTGGGCTGCCTGTAGTGTCCCAGTTCAGCTACACCTCTGCTGCATCTCCAGAGAACACAGGACAATCTCTTGCTTGTTGCTTTTGCTTTTTATTAACCCACTACCTGTTCTACCATGTAGAAATTCTGAATCACCAGGGATGTAGAATTCCTCGTAGGCACTGGACAGCAAACTTGTCATCCAAAATAATGCTTAATGCTATTTTGCATTGAAAAAATTGTGCAAACTGTAAAGTTTACCGTACTCCTTTGTCAAGCCAGAGCTCTATGTTTTTTCATGGTGTTCTCTTTATTGGGGTTGTTCCACACCCCCCCCCCCCCCCCCCATTGTACTCTTATGGGGTGGGAGGAGAAGTCCTCAGGTTTGGTAGAGATACACTAAAGAATGAAGAAGATAAGAGGCTGAGTTGTGGGAGTGAGTTGCTTTTCCTCTGAGCTGCTTATCAAGTACTGAATTGAGACAGTACTAAGTTTAAAAGTGGGACTGACTAAAGGCGGGGCTTTTCATATGGTGGTATGTAGGGAATAGTTTAATCATACTTTACCTACTTTTGCAAACACTGTTTTGCAAATCATTGTGATATTTTGAAAAAGGCTGCAGTGATTCTGCAGTTTCCAGAGAGAAAACAACAGGAGCTCTTAGTGAAAGAGGTTGCTGTAACTGCTTGGGTTTGCTCTCTATGGTAATAGAAAAGATTTCTCTGATTCCCAGGGGAATCTTCTGTTGGAACTTGGTGATGTGCTAGGTTTGGGACTCATCATTGACAGAGTTTGGAACTGAAGAGAGCAAGAATGGCTAGGCGTGTGGACCCACACTATTAGCAGGGCAGAAAGCTTGTTTTGAGAGACAAAGTTCATGATCCCTGAAGGGATCAGGATGAAGGTAAGCATATTCTCTGCATTGCCCTGATTGTAAATGTGCCTTCCTGATTGGTACCTGTAAGTATCTGAGTAGCTGAGTAGTCTTTAGAAGCTAAATTACCTCATGGTGATTTTTATGGGGAAGAAAAGGTTCTCCCTTTTAAACAACAGGAATGTGTGCTTCTAGTGGTGTAGGTTTAGAAATCTCTTCTGTTGAAAGCAGTGATTTATCTAAATCCTGGAGTATTTGTTCTTGAAACAGATCTAATCCTCACAGTGAAGTAAATTTTGGAGAAAAGCTGTGCAGCTTTGGGGTTAGGCCTAGTAACTATCCCTTGTTTTAATCCTGGTCCTGAGCACTTGAGAAAAATGGATTCCCAGAGTTACCTAAGTGAAAAGCCTGCTTGTGTCTTGGTTTATTTACCAAGTTGGTACAAATGCATTTTCTCCTGAAGAAAATTTTAGAGTTTTCTGGTGAAGGGTTGTTATTTCTGAGCCATAGCTATGACTGTACCTGACTAGTCTGGGGTTGTTCGTTAACAGTCTGTTTTGATGTAGTTCAAGGTTTTTAAGTAGTCCTTGCAGGAGAGGACAGAGGCTGAAACATCAGATCTCAAAGCAGAGGCCCTGTGTTCAGTGCTTGCTTTCTTCTCCGTGTGGTCAGGGTCACGCTGGTGAAACGTGGATGGCCTTTAGTGTTGCCTGTTGGCCTTGTATATGAAGAGCTGTCTGATGGCTCCCAGGGAAGGCTGTACGTTTCATGGTAATACTCTTGAGATATTTTAAAAATAATTGTTAAAATTGAGTAGCTTATCTTGTGTAGTGTCCTACCAAGTATGTGTCTGCTTGAGGAAACTTCCTGAAGGTAGGTGAGAATGTAGACAACCTGCTATGCAGGGCATGCTGAGCATAGGGGCTGTTGGGTCAAATGAAATCCAGTCAGAGGATCTGAGAGGTAACTCAAGCCCAAGTTTCATAGCTCGGGAGGGTAGTGGAGGGGACAGTGATGCAGCAGTTTTTGCCTATACCGTTTCTCTTCTTCCAGCTCTGATCAGCTGCCTTATAACAAGCTTGGCCGAGTTAGCGAGGTGCAGTATGCATGTACTCTGACAAATGGTGATCTTCATCTGTCTCCAGCTGTAAAGTGGGCAGAGTTCAGCTTTTCCACAGAATCTGCAGCCTCTGTAAATACAGTTAAATAGCTTCTGCTGGTTTTTTATATTTCCCTTTGGTTGAGGTACTCTTAGTGGTGGTTGTTTTTTTGTGGTTTTTTTTTTTTAAATATTTGGCTGAAACTATACTAAGGCCTTCCTCACCAAAATTCTTTATTTATAGAAAGCCCTATTTGTATGATATCCTATTACTGAAGTGAGGAGGTGTGTATGTTGCTCTTTCAGCCTCCATGTAGGTGAGCTGAAATCACTCCCATTCTTTGGATAGCAGCTGTTGCCGAAGGGGACCACTGCAGAGTGTTTCAGTATAATATACTTCCAGTACTTCTAGGAGTACGTTGTCTCTGCGTGTCCCTGCTTGGTGAAAAGGAAAGATAAGCTTACTAGGACAAAAGTCATCTTGCATCTGTTACTTCTACAAGTGTTAAACAAAATGTGTCTGCTCCACATTTGGAGGCATGAAATTCTATTGCTAGTGCAAGAAAGTGTTATTTTAATGATGTAGATCTGCAGGGAAAATAGTGGATGTTTGAGGTGTGGGTGGACAAACTGTTTGAAAAAGAAAATACATCTTTACACTTGCTGCTTGGATTTCCAGGTCGTTTGGTTGGTTTTTTTTTTTTGTTTTAAATCTTACTGTTTATTTTTCATCAGAACACAAAACCCCAACCATCCTAACTTTTCCTTAATTTACTTCCCCCTCTCCTTTCTCAACTATACACTATGGTGGTGGTGGGTGCATCATACTCCCTCCCCCAGCCTATAGCCATATTAGAAGACAGTCATTCCTGGACTGATTCAGATCCATGCTGGCTGAACTCAGTTTGTTATCAGAGAGTCTAGAAAAGTAATGTTTAATGTTCCCCAGTTTTATTCTTTTGGTGTGAATTGAGCTTACAGGCAATAGTGTGTTTTCCCCATACTGTTAACGGGCTGCTTTAACAGCAGTGAAAGAGTCTAAAAGCAGTGCCTTAGGGGAAAATGGCAGATCAGCTTCTGGTAGAGGAGATTCTTCACAGTGAGGTTATGATGTTTGAGCTGGTGGGGTTGCCTTCATGGCCAGCCCTTGGCAAATGGTCTGGTTTAAAAAGTGTGTTGATCGAGTAGCTTTTCCCTGCAATAGCACCTTTAGGAAAGTCAGAGATCTTTGATTTCTGAACCGTGCTTGAACTTGGAGTAGTTCTTCAAAAAATGATGTTATTTATAGATGCAGCTCAGTTAATATCACTGCTGTTTAAGCATTGTGTGAACTGAAATGCTGCTGCTTATTTCTCTTGTCAGTGCATGGTTCCTTCTTGTAGTGAAGACTAGAAGATTTTTTTAGTTTAACTTACATCCATTTTCTACCTCTGTAATTGAATCTTCAAGACACAGCCTTGCTGTAAGGAAGACATTATGGAATAAAACTTACTCGTATTTTTGGAACTTGTGAGCTTAAAGATGACAGGAATAGATCCTGATTTGTATCTTAACTGTGGGAAATGACGGGAAAAAATTTGAGGGGGAAAAAAAGCTCCTGCTCAGGCTTTCCACTAAATGTACCTTGAGAGACACTGCTTTGGCAAGATTTCTTTAACCTTTATGTTATGTGTTGGAAACATGTCTTAATGAAGACTTTTTTGAAATTTTCTGGTTAAGATGGTAAAGTAGGAAGAAAGCAATGCAACTATGCAAGCAGTATAGACAGTCTTCTGAATTGGTTAAAGAAACTACCTATTTCTGATGTCTTTCAACTCTATTGCATTTGTAGCGATGAGGTGACCTAGTGTTCCTGAGTGTTCCACTAACAGGGTAGCTATTGAAAGATTGTTACTGTGTTTGGTTTTCCCCACTTCCTGTTTACTGGATTCCTTGTTTTCATCAAAACGGGGAGGGGGAAGAGAATATCATGAAACTTCTATCCCAGTTGTGAATAAACACTGGGTTGCAGAGTTCTTAACTGACCTGGAACTTGGACCAAAGAACAAAGGTTGAGTTTCAATCTTTCATGGTCCAGTACATACCATTTTGAACACACTTTCCAATGATTCGGTATACTGTCACTTGAGAACTCTTGTTTAAGAGATAATTGCCCTCATTACTTTCCACAAACCAGAAATACAGAGGTCCCTTAACATCTAGCTTTTGGTGGGGATTATGGTGCATAAGATTATTTTGTTTATGTCTTGATCAGTGATTGATATTTAATTGCATTTTTCAGGGGAATAAAATCAGCAGTGTTGATATTACAAAATGACAAAACATCCTCCGAATAGAAGAGGGATCAACTTTGAGGTGGGAGCCCAGTTGGAAGCCCGTGACAGATTAAAAAACTGGTATTTTTTTAAAACCATTCATATTCTATTACCTCTAAGTCTTTACTATCATAAACATTTTGTATTCGTACAATATTTAGTCGTGGTCATTGGTTTATAGGAAAGTAGTTAATTCATAAAAGATTATATACCAGTGGTTCAAATGGGCGATAGGTGTTGATGTGTTGTGCTGGCCCTTAAAAAGAGGTGTACTGGTGCTAGCTGTGCCTGGGAAATAGGACTACTCATAAATCTAGTGCAACTTCAGCCCCTGATACTCCTGAATTCACATTTTAAATTCTGTGCTATACACAGATTGCAGAGCAGACGTTATGGAAAGAGCAATCCTTTTGCAGGACAGAATACCCAACGTCGTTCCTCGCTGCTTCCTTTCCCATTGCTCCTGTGAATTCCTAGGCTTTAAACCCTGATAGAAATTGTTGTGGCTTGTGCTCATTTGAGGGTGGTCAGCTTTAGCATTGAAGAACTGCATGAGGAAACACATTCTACCCTAAGATGTCTGCTCTGGAACCTGTCTTGCATACTTCAGTTGTGAGGAGAACACATTTCCTGACTAACCAATGCAGAAGGAAGGGGAAGAAGGGACTAAAAGTTACTTGGGTGAACTTGGAGCCTTCTAACAGTTCATTTTAGGAAGTCAGCTAAAAAAATTAGTGTTTAACACTGCTCATGAATGAGTTATACAATGAAAATGGCTGGAGTCAAAGACTTCTTAAATACAGCAATTTAATTTACTTTTGTTAGCTCTTTTAAGGTATCTCCTTGATTTTTATTTAAGAGTCTGTGTGGGTTAGACATGACTGTACTTTAGGCCCTGGAACCTGCTGGCAGGTTAAGCATACAGAAGTTAGTGTTGAAAATCATCTGGACATCCTAAAAGGTTGGAGCACTGTCTTAGACACAGGGGACTTGTTCCAAAACATCTTAGTTTCATGTGGAGTATTTCTCTACGTTCCAGGTACAAGGAACTCTGAAAATGAGCAAACAGCGGAAAGAACATGAAGTACAAACGTTAAATCATACTTGCACGTTATGTTGGCTTTCCTGTGTAACCAACAATTGTGTTGGTAGGGCTTTAATGTGAATCTTTGTACTCTTGAGCTTTGTTTATCTAGCAAAAAAATAGTCATGCCTACAAAAAAGAGATTTCTTAGCCTATACGTAATGTAGGCTTATTGAAGACGCAGTTTAGTATAGATTGTGTTTGAGTAAGGCTAATAACTTCTGTCCATGACTGTGATCTTTCTGATATGCTGGGATAACAACAGTATCTCAAAGTATGGGCGTAGACAGTTCTTTACCTGGGAAAACTTTGGGGAGGGAATTCAGTGCCTACTATCCTTTCTACATATCTCTTGTCTTGAATTTTGGATATGCTGTATGTCTGAAACTAAGCCGTGTTGTTAAGTTTTTAAAAATACTTCATCTTGTAAGACCAGAGTTACAAAACACTGTGCATACTACAGGTCATTTAACTTAGTTACTAACTTTCCAGTTCTGAAAGTTTTCTTTTGCTTGCTAAGCATTTGAAACCTGGGTCAGAAAGTTCATGTTTCCTTGACTGGTCATCTGTGTGTGTTTCTGTTTTCAAGGTTTGTGAACAAAAATTTCTAAGAGCTGAGTGCTTATTTTCTCAGTAGTGACAGGCTGATACACCACTCCAGGTGTGGATTTGTAGAGGACACAGATGACTTTTTTCCCCCTGCTACTTTCACCTGCTGCTGTGTGAACAGGACCACTCTGTGGTGTGGTCACAATGTACTCCTTTTATGTGGACAGAAAACTTTCCACTTGCTTTTCCCAGTCCTAGACCTGCAGAGGGCCGAGCTTGACTTGTGTTTATGTTTGTTGCTATGTTGGCACCTAAGCATAGGCAGAAGCCTCTTGTTGATTGGAGGGCTGGCTTTGGATTCTGTGCTCAGTACCAAACGCAGCAGTCAATTCATGGGCCAGTATTGCTTCTCAAATGGCAGTACTGCTTTGGAAAGTGTTTCATCTCAGAGCCCCATTTACTTTCCTTCCCTGGCAGCAGCTTGTGCCCTGGAATGCTAGTTCAGGACTTTCAGAGTGTTTGGATGTGATGACACCCTATTGAAGAAGGAAGAAAAATGGTGTATGCCAGCAGAGTAGTCAACACAGTCTGCATCTTGCCGAAGTACAAAGTGGATTTTGCATCTTTAGAGCTCTTATCAAAGGCTGCTTTGTTGTATCTGGAATCATAAGGTATTGGGAATGCACTGCATTCAGTTCCTAGTGCAGTTGTCTGTCACCTCCTAGACTCAAACTCCAGGGAGTACAGCGAGTATTTTTTGGCGCTTGTTTGATGTATCAAAGCTATCATGAAAGGCTTGTGACAGTGTCTGCTGACCTCAGGGCACTAAAGAGGGAGAGCTCTGGCTGTCAGGCAGTGCCTCTGTGCACGCTGAAAGGTCTTGGTACACGGTGCTTGAGTTCAGAGGATGGAGTAGTGGGACGACAGTAGTGCAGTCCTAAATGGAGAGATCCCAAAGAGGCTGGCTGTGTACATGTACACACTGTCCAGCTGAATTGAGTTCTTGAAACTTGTTGCATTGGATCATTTACACCCTTCAGTGCTAGCTAGCTGCAGGCAGAGGATGACTCTGCACTGGGTGTCTTCAGTAGGCAAATGATGACACGTCTTGTGTTTCCTTATTGTAGTAACACCTCTTCAGGTTGTCTGTTGTGTGAGTAAAATGGGTATGAAGAGGCTTCTGATTCTGGTTGAAGCTCTTGAGTATTGACTCTTCAGTCAGCATTTTGATTCTGAATTTCAGATATTTACCTCTTCACAGAAGAGGATGGTTTTATGCTTGTGTCTACAAGAAACCATTTTCATATTGTTTGCTGTGCTCTGACAGCAGTAGTCTGAAGTTGCCAGTCATTGTTAACCCCTGTCTGTTGAGACTGTGCTGTTTGAGCTTTTGGTTGTTGCTTAGCTTCTTATCAAAACTATTGGCAGCAGCTTGGGCATCTTGGAGCTCTTCCCTTACTGTTTAGACAGTGCATAAAGCCTTGAAAGTTACAAGCTCATCATTCCTTTTGGGTTGAGCTGGAAAACTACTTGTTTTGAACAGCCAGTATATATTGCAAAAAGTTGTCTGATTCCAGCTTGTTTTTCACAGCATGTTATATAAATACTCAAATTGGTACCAGTTGGGGATTTCTTACCCATGGAGTCAGCTAAATGCTTCCTTTGTGATTTGGGAGAGGATGTCTTGGACCATCCTTGGACATGGGTGGCTGTACTCTTTTTCAGGCCTTAGCCAGGCTTCAGCTATTGGCCTTTCACTGTGTGTATCCTCACGTTTTCTTGATAACAAGTCTGAATTTCTTTTAAGTTACCTCTAACCCTTGGCATGTTTACAGGCTTTTTGGTCTGTGTGAATGGATGTGCTGTATTACTCCTCTTCTGTATAGATCTGTGAGGACTTGTGCCTCCTGATGTGGCATGCTTGCTCAATGCTTTGAAGGCTAGGGGAAGAATGTTGGAGGAAGGGAGCTAGTACTATCTGTGTGTGGTGCTCAGAGTTGTTGAGGACGTATGAACCCTTCTTCTTTGTTTAGAAGTTGCCAGCGGTGTCTTCTGCATCTGAAGGGAAGATGGTATGAGGGAAGGGACTGGCCAATTTTGTAGCACAGCCTCTAATAGGTTTACTGTTCCCATCAAGAGCACTGAATGTATGTTTGCTGATACTGGTTGCTTCAGGAAGAGAAGGCTTGTTCAGACTCCAGCAGCATGTTATCCAGGAGCTGGCTGAGCTCCAGTTCACCCATGCTGATTCTCAACCAGGCTGAAATTTGGTCTCATTGTCAGGTATGTTTTTGCGGTGCTTGATGATAAAACAGCATCCTGTCATGAAGTCTTCAGAAGGTGAGGTGGGATGGGTGCAGATGATGCTGGTGGTTCTTCTGCTGCAGAAGGTTTCTTTTTCTGGGTACAAAGCAGGAAAGAGTCTTGCATCATAAAGTTAGTGGATGCTTGTCTCTCCCCAGTGGAAGAAAGTTAGTGGCTTGAGTGTATTTACCAGAGGTGTTTATCTGGTCCAGGGACTGGATTGTTAGCTTAATGTTGAGTCAGCACACCATCATTTTTATCAGCTTCTCTCTTCATCTTTGAGAATCTGGACAAGCCCTAGGTCCATTGCAGTCCTGATGGCAAAAGCATCCCTCTGACCAGGCTCTTGCTGCGAGGACCTGGTAATTCCCCTGTTCTTGCTGCACTTTGCCAGGGCTGGATACTCATTTTTGTTGTTACCTGTTCTTAGTGAGAGGCAGTTGCTGAGATACCCAAGAATAAACTATGTTTAATAGAATTATGTTGTTATATGTGGAAAGACACTGAATATTCCCCCCTCATGAACCTGTGCAGGGCAGTGCATGGGGCTACCTAAATAGGAAATATGTTGACTGTTAGATGAAGTAAGTTGCTTCCTTCATAGGAAGGTCGTTGTCAGTTAGAGATGTCGTCTTCTCCTCCACAGCCTTTGCTGCATTTTTTGTTAGTATATTGGGATGAACTACTGGCACAGCTTGAGTCGTGGCATCGAGTGTTAGGTAGGGCTTTAGTCTGTGGTTGCAGTGTAGCGTGGCCTAATTGTAGCTTTTTTTGAACAAGTTGTGACTGGACATGTCTCAGATCTGCTGAAGAATTTCACTTGTAGGTAGCTTTTTCATTTGTGTAGGATTGTGAAATGGTACTCGGTTGCATTTACATCTTTATTCTGACGTGTCTAGGTTTCATTGTTAGCATCAGGCTTGATGCTTTCTAGATGCAGTTTCTTTCTACTATGTATCAGGTAAAGAATTCTTGTGGATTTAGTGTTGTGTGTGGGGGTGTTTTTTGCTTTTTCCCTTCAACCCTTTGTTCAGCAATTCAGTGGGGCCTTGCCTTTCTTCCACAAATAATTGAAAACACTGACAAGTGGAGATTTTCTTCTGGTGCTGTTAACTGCAGATGGAAAAACATCAATACTTGGGGTGTTATCGTCAGTTGGAATAGTAAAATATGCTATGATTCCAAAATACTTACTGAAGTTACAAATTACCAATGCAATTAAAGAAATGCATAATGTATAAGGTCTTCCTGATTACAAACAACTGGATTTGACTTGTCTTGGATTCCTGTACTTCTGATATACTGAGATTTTTATTTAAAAGTCCCAGGACTTTGCATATGAAATTAACTTCGAGAATCTTAAACTTAAGCTAAGTTTAGTGTGCCTGCTAGACTTTTGCTGTTACACTGGGTAGATGGTTGATGCTTGTTGATGGAAATCTGAGAGAAGCGAGTGTATTGATCTCCAGGTGTTACTCTTGTTAAGAGGGTGTTGAAGCTATCGGTTTTTTGTATATGTAAAATTTCTAGGTCTAGGGATGTTTTCTTTGACTTCTTGATCACTAGTTGCCTCTTTTTTTTCCACCCCAGTCTAAGTCGTCCTTGGTTGTCACCTCTTCCTGCAGCTGTTCCTTTGCTGTTCAGTTTTGGCTTAGTCCTGTTCTGAGCTCTTAGTCATTTTGTTTGCATCTTTACTGCTTACACAAGTGATACATCAAATATTAAGGTTGTAGAACCTAAAGGTGGTTAGGTATAGTTACTCAGCACCCCATCACACCTGATCAAGCAACTCTTCAGATATTTTGCATTCAGTGATGCAAGAAGGCCCCACTTTTGCAATGCTTTTTATACTCTAGTTAAGTGTCTGAGACAGCTTACTTTTTTTTTTCTTACCTGAAATATTTAAGTCTACTTTTTGACCAGGTATCCAGCACACATTGAAGAAATTGATTATGAAGAAGGAAGAGTACTTATCCATTTCAAACGCTGGAACCATAGATATGATGAATGGTTTTGTTGGGACAGTCCTTATTTGCGTCCCTTAGAGAAAATACAGTTAAGAAAAGAAGGATTACATGAGGAAGAAGGTTGTGCAGTAAGTAGAAAATAGAAGACGTTTGAGTATGTAATAGTTTAATGTGCAGTTGTATAAATTATGGCCATTAAAATGTCTTGCTGTTGCTGTGTTGCCTGCTGTGTAAGTTTTATGACTTATTTTAAATATTGGAAAACTAATATATTTGATGGTTTAATGAGGTTTCAGTAATTCTCAGATAAAAACATTTTTAACTTCTGTCTTGTAGGGATTTCATATAAATGATCAGGTATTGGCATGCTGGTCTGACTGTCGCTTCTATCCAGCCAAAGTTATTTCTGTTAACAAAGATGGTAAGGAGTCACTTTTAAAAATGCATTACTAACAAGCATGACAAAAGAAATTGTATTCTAACATTTTTGCTTAGGTAGAGAGATAGTACAGACAGAGGTAGTAAAAGACAACTGTGAAAAGTTTTATTTTCAATCATATGTTCTAGTCTACCATGAACTTTCCTCTCATGAAATGGGTGAGAGATTAGGTTTAAAAAAGAACTTTCTACTTGGTTCTCTAGTCAGTAATTGCTTTCAGGTATATGTTTGGAAGAGTTACTTTAAGTTTATTGTCAAGAGGTGCATGTAACCACAGTAAAACTACTGTCAGAGCTGCAAAACCACTTTACAAACTGGGATGGCAGAGGGGAGAATACAGCCATGCTTCTCCTTTCTGAGTATCAGTAAGTAACCGTGAAGGACTTTTGCTGTGTTTTCTGTAGGTTGACTATAATGGTGTAAGATCAAGGAGAAAAAGTCTGTGTAATAATGAATTGGAGTAGTCCACCAGAAGTATTTTGAGCTTTTGTGAAGAAAGTATATCTAAGGAGCTTAGCCTGTGATAAGGTCTTTGCTGCTGAAGTTTTTAACAACACAGATAAGGCAGCTTTTTATCTAGACCTAAAGATGCAGCTACTGTATTGGAGCTGTTAGCAGATGTTCAGTTAAATAACTTCTGATCTTCTGATCTTTAAACTCATGCTTAATTTTTTCCTATTTAGGTACATACACTGTGAAATTTTATGATGGTGTAGTTCAGACTGTCAAAAACATTCATGTCAAAGCTTTTTCCAAAGATCAGGTAAGTATTGTGTTCATGCTACTAGTGTATTCTAAGATTGACAGTTCAGGTGGGTAGATTTGATGAATTATAAAATGCAAAAAGGAATGAAACTTCCTCTGTTGCTAACTTACAAGGCCTCTAAAATAAAATCTCTTTAAATGAAAAGGTTATGCAAATCTTCATAGTATGATTTGCAAAGTTCTCCGATTCATGTTCTCATGAATGCAGCTGTTGAGTATATGAAGTCATAAGCATGTGAATAAAATCAATTTTCTTAAAATCATTAGTATGTACTTTCTTAATCTTCAATACCCTACCACTAGCTCTGGAAACACACTTTGGTTGTTTCACCTGTTGGAGATGACTTTGAATACATGCATCATAAAAATTAAGGGGTGGGAACTATGGAGTGGACAGAAACTATGATTTCACAAAGTAACCACTCAGTTGTCTTGAGAGTTTTAAGGAAGCTGTCTAGTAATTTTTAACCTCACAACTTTGAGAAGAGAAGCTTTTTGACTAATCCCTGTTCTGCTTCTGTGGTTTGGCTGTTCTACCAACCCTTCACCTACTTAGTGCTGTGGGTCCAAGCTTTGGTGCGTGATGGAAAGTACTAGTGAGTCATTCTTAAAAGAAAAATACTAAATTATTTTGTCCTGCTTATGGTAAGAAGTGCTGATTTGTACTTTGGTTTTCATGTGTGGGCGCTTCGTAGGAAAGGCTGACATGTTCTAGTCCTGTGTAACTTGTTTAAAACTTCCTAAGACCTGACTCAGAATAATTGTTATTACAGAAATGGTTTTAGGTTTGAGATCTTGCCACACATTCCTGTGTGGTATCTGTAGCCTGTGTGTTTAGTCATGCCTTCTGCTTTTACTTTTCTGGAATTTGAAGTTTGAACAAAGAAATTGAATCCCTCCCAACACAAGTCTTATGTGGATTCCAGTAATGAATGTTAGTGGATACAACTGAAATCTGTTACCGTTGTAGAAAGGTATGCCGTTCTGTGGAGGTCTCCAGACTTGTGTATCTGCCAGACTGGGAGAGGGAACTTTTGAGATTTGCCTCAAAGTGCTCTTAATGACTTTCAAATGATGGTAATTGTGCCTGATTGAGGGTTGACTAATGCTCACAAGGGAACTACCTTGAAGAATCCTCATTGCCACGAGGAATATTTCTACCGTATTTAACCTTAAATATATGAAGCTGAACAATCAAGAAATATTCTGCATAAGGGAAGATATTTCTGCAAGAGGAAAATATTTTGTCTCTCCTCTCTCCTTTAGGGAGTTTCATGTTTTTACATAGCTTTGGGTAGGTTTTGAAAGGAGTTTTTCTTCTTTGTTTAACCACTAGCTGGGAAGATTTCTCTTAACCCAGGAGATAAGTTACGCTGGAACATCTTGTTCTGTCCTTCAGCATAAAAAAAACATGAAGGGAGAATTTCATAGCGAGCTCTGTTTATACAATCACAAGTGAAGTTTAAAAAAAAAAAAAGGGAGAAAAAACCTAACAACCAAACCCGAGCCACTGGAGAGCTCAAGATTTAGTTGTGAATGTGAGTTACTTAGTGTACAAATTCAGATGCAGTACTAACGTAGCAGCATGCTGGCAGTGGAAGGAAAGTGTCTTGTTCCTGGTCATCAGTAGGAGAGACTGTAGCAGGGAAGACACACATGGCTCTTACCTTAGCTGTTCCTAGAGAAAAAAAAGTCCCAAACCCACCTGATTTCTGAAGGGGGCAACGTAAGCTGGTTGTTTTTTCCTTAATGACAGTGTCACTCTGCCTCTCCCTAGAGGGCATAACATGCTGCATTGTATAGTGATGGTAAAATGTTGCTTTCCATGACTCTTAGCACATTTCAGTAGCACTGATAATTGCAAGCTAAATACTGGTCTGTTTTGAATGAGACACTCTTGTGAAAGGAAGACAGTTTTTGCACCCAGGTGATGGAGCTGTTTGCCCTTTTGTATGCTTTTGACTCCGACTCTTTTATTCGGTATCCCAAGCAGACTAAGTAGTACTGCGCAAGCTAGTGTGGACCCAACCTGCACTTGAGAATGAAGAAAGTACATCTCTTATGCAATTGAGTCGTGAAAAGGGCAGGAGACCGACTCTGTTCTGTTGAAGTCGTATGGGTCCTTGAACAGTTCAAGTGCCTCTAAGTTTTAATCTGTGGGTTGCAGCAGTGTGTATGCTTTTATCCTTTGAAAAATTGGACAAGGATGCAGGACTACTAAATACAATGGCAGGGAGAACTTTTGGATTGCAACAAGTTTAATTTTCATATATGTCACTCTCTTTATTCTAGAATATTGTGGGTAATGCTAAGCCTAAGGCAAGAGGTAATGAAATTCTGTCATCTCCTGAAAAGCGGGATAAATTTAAAGAACAGAGGAAAGCAACAGGTAATGCAAAGAAAGGCAAGGATGAAAAGACATTAAAGACTGAGAAGAGAGTTAAGCAACCTGATAAAGAAGGAAAATTGATAGTCATCTCAGAAAAGAGTATATCTAAGAATGGAAAAGAAGATAAAGAGAATATATCAGAGAATGATATGGAATATTCAGTAGATACACAAATTGAGAAGAAGGCTGAGAATGACAATGTAAAGACTCCACAGGAAAACACAAAAGAAACTAAACGAAAACGTGGAAGGCCACCAATAACACCTCCAACAGGTATGTAGCTACATGTAAATGTTTAAGCCATGTATCACAACCCTTCTAAACTTACCTAAAGGAATGAAAAGTATCTTGTGCTTTCATAGCCTATGTCTGTAGAAACTTCTAAAGAATTTTAAACCTGTCTTTGTTCAGACTTGTTTAGAACAGCTGGGCAGGGGAGAGAAAATATAGTGAAAAGCTTGTGGTCAAGGATAGGGAGAGAGCATTCCTGTTATCATCACAGGCAAAACAAGATTCTACTTGGGGAAAATGAGTTTATTACCAATCAAATCAGAGTAGGGTAATGAGAAACAAGCCTGAATTTTAAAACACCTCCTTTCCCACCACTGTTGCTGATGGGCTTGGCCTTGGCCAGTGGCAGGTCTGTCTTTGCTCTGTTGCACACAGGGAAGCCTGACAGCAGTTACACACAGAAGCTACCCTGTACCCCCTCCCACTACCAAAACCTTGCCATGCAAATCCAATGCAATATAATGTAAAACTTGTCTGCGAGTATGTAGACTTCAGAAAGCCGGGTGAAACTACTTATGCAAGTCCAGTATTTTCACTTGTGAGCCTTGGGAATTTATGTTTTAGCCTTTTGCAGCTTCATATCCAGTCAATTTTTATTCTCCATCTAAATATGTAGAGCCAAGTTCTCAGACGCTGCAGCCCATAACTTTGGAGCTAAGACGTCGGAAAATACCTAAAGGAGGTGAAGTTCCATCAAAGCGTCCTAGGATTGAAAAAAACCTGCGTGAGTCTTTCGGTATTCAACTCACGATGTTTGTATGTTGAAGTTCTTGGAGCTTAAGTGAGGGGGAAAAAATATCTGTAGTATTACCCTTGACCTGTGATACACGAAATGGCTGAAATGCAACACCATTTTTTCTTATATTTTCCATTCATCATCATACTGAAATTCCCACCTAAATCTCGAAAGCTGGATTTAGATGAAGGAGCCATAAGCTGTGACTCTTGATGTAGAGGTTCATAGATACAGGGGAGGCAGTGATATTGCTTCCAGTATGTAGAAGGTTATGAAAGCCTTTTTCTAGTTCTAGAAACTCTTTAGTCAGTAGATGGAGGACCTACCACATTGCTCAGCAAAGACACTTTAGCACTCAACAGACATTCATGTCTCTGCTGTCTAATAGCTCCTGCTGTATCTTGGTATACTGTGTAGTGGTGTTGATGAAATTATATTCTGTCTGGTAGTATCATGAACGAGGGTATGAAGGTGTGAAGAAGGCAGACTTTCCCTTCCTTAGGACTACAGTCTTGGAATTTCAGTACTGTACTTTATCCAGCTTGGGCTCGAAGTTGTGTGTCTGAGTTACCTCGCATAACTTCTGATATTACTAAGGTCTGTGGGGCGGTCACTTTTTAAAGCAATGTTTTACCAGGAAGATATTAATCTGTATTATTGTTACTTCAAATCTGTTACTGTAAGACAAAGTTGAGACACCGTTAAGATAGGTATTTGCTCTATTTTTGTGTATATTAGTAACTGTTACATGACTGTAGCTTTTACAGAGAGGTCTAGGGCTGGTTAGCTTTTGCTGTTAATTTCAGTCCTTAAAAAATGCACTTTCAAACTGTCACTGGGAGGGGAGGTCTGTGAAGTTTGCTTGTGAGCTATGTGGTAATCCTGTAACTGCATGGTCCCATTGAATTTGTCTGCTCCAGCTCAGGAAAAATTCAAGAACTCTTCAGATAACGCTGAAAGAGACCAGATCAGGAGACGATCTTCAAGACTCTCATCTAGTATTAGCCATGAGATTTTAAATACAGATCATGTCACGACTTCAGCAGAAACTCAGCTTTCGAAAGATGCTGTATCTAACCAAAAAGAATCTGAGAAGGGTAAGCAGCTTCCTTCCACTCCAGATTTGTGGTGGCATGCCAGTCATCTAGTTGTTGCAAGTATTGCTTTTTCACTTGCATGACCTGCAGGCTCTGTACCTGCAATTAAAATCTGACTTCATCAGCAGTGCAGAGAACTCCCGGCAAGTTTGTATCTCTCGCTGCTGCTCTAATTGCCTTGTGCTTTTGAGTCCCTCTCCATCAGTCACCCTGGTGGTTCCCATGCCTGGTGGGAGCTTTTCCAGTAGAGGGATTACTGGCCTCGCAAAAGGACAGCTCCATAGACTGTAAAATAGCTGAAAGGAAATGTTGCGTGGTTTCGTCTTTTCTTTTTTTTAGGGGAGGCAGGTTATGCTTGTGAACATGAGTTAATTACAAAGCTTTAAGACTTTTATACTGAAGTAATTCAAATGCTAAGTTTACGGTTTAATCCTCTTGCTGAATACTAAAACCACCACACGGGATGCTTTTATTCTTTGAATGGAGATAATGCTTGGTATTTTTGCCCTGTGTTTCGCTGCCTTTCCCTTCCAGGGGGAGCTCTGACAATGGTTTGAGGAGACATATCCTATTTTAGAGTTAGCAGCTCTAAATTTAGCTACAAGTAGCTGTGTTGTAGAAACTTAACTTTGTGTTAATACAACAGCAAGCAGTCTGATCATGGATGGATATTTGTCTCCACCGTAATGTGATGAACACACACCAGTGTTCTGGAATATGCTTTTGTGTGCGTTTAACTCAATTACTTTTTTTTTTTTCTTCCGTTCTAGTCAAGTTAGAAATTCCTGTTGAATCTGACCAGAGTTTTGGTGAACAAGGATCTCCTGGAAACACATCACATAGCACAGCACTTAGTACAGATGCCAGTTTGCAGGAAGAAAAAGTTGAAAACACTGAGTCTTCCTCTGTTCCTCTCAGAACTCAAGAACCTTCTGCTGGTACGGGTTCAAATTTTGATTTAATATTTAATATTGATGCATTTCTTAAGGCAGCTGCTGCCAGGTGTTTCATGCTTGTCCGAGTGTAACTAACAACATCGCAAGAACACACAATTTTTAACCCTGGGGGAAAATGCATATTTTTATTCCTTATGGACTCAATTTTGATCTTATGCTTTGGATATTAACAGTAATGTTCCAAAAAAGAGGAAATAATAACTTTTAAATGACTGGGTGTAATATTTTTAGCATGTGAATGGTAAAATTTAAAAAATTTTGTTTTCACATTATGATTTAATATTTGTAATTCTGGATTAATTTAGATTAACATTTTAGAAGATCGGGTTATTTTGTAATTTCTGTGCTGCAGGTGTATGTTAGCATTTGTGTTTGGGAGTCCTGATTGTGTATGTCTGTATCCTTATGGTTTTGCTTCTGTTATACTTAACCTAAGAGGTTTCGGTACAAATCTGTGAAGTAGTTCAAACATCTCAGTGTCTGTCTTAATAATGTATATATTCTGTTTTCTCTTAGCTGGGGAGTGTACTCAGTTTGCTTTTTCAAATTAAAATTTCCTGTACAGATAGCAGACTATGCAAAAACATAGTGCTGTCCTGTGATTATTCCTTGTAACTTTGAATACTTGGGTCTGCAGCTAATGGGGGAAACTCGAACTGCAAATTCCCTAGGTTATGCTCTATCAAAGAAGCTTCATCTTGAGTGGAGCAGAGCCTTTAGAAGAGGGGTTTGCAGTTGCTCAGCAATGCTAGAGTAATCTGTATGTGCTAGCTTTCATCCTGTTTGATTCTTCCAGCTTCACCCTCCTGCTTGCACATGTCCTCTTTTACCTACTCTTGTGTAACTGTACAAATGACATGTCCTCTCCCTTTGCCAACTGATGTGCCCCTTTAGTGCAGGAAGGGGTTTACCTCTTTCCC